AGGGGTTTTGATCCGATGGCGGGTTTCCGCTTGTTTCTGATTTGCGTTGTTTTTGGTGCTTTTCGGATGTACTCTTCGACGCACGAGTGGTGGTTATTCACATTTTCCGCAAGGTGGTTGACGGAGAAGTCGTAGGTCTCATCGTGATCTAAGTGGATGACATCATGTTGTCCGCGACAGAGGAGGAGCGTGAAGAGTTGCTAGCGTCTCTCCAGAAGAGATTGCCTGTGAAGGATCTAGGAGATTGTACCTGGTACGATGGGTGTGCCATTGAGGTGGACCTTGAGAATGGTACCACCAAGCTGTCCCAGACGGCTTATATCGAGAGCATGCTCAACCGCTTCAATGTCACGACCACTGCTCCCACGCCCGCTGTCGTCGACGATGACCTAGGGCCGAAGAGAGACGACGAGTCTTCGGTGGACAAGCCCGTGACGGAAGCGATCGGATGCCTCATGTGGTTGCTGTTCACGAGGCCGGACATCGCGCTGCCTTTGAACAAGCTGCAGAAGATCGCCCACTCACCCACCGAGAGGATGTGGAACGCTCTTGTGCGGATCATGTCCTACCTCAACGAGACGAAGGACCTCGGGATCACCTACGTCCGCGGATCAGGGCTAGACCTATACGTGTTCGTCGATTCTAGTTACGCCGACAGCACCGTTGACAGGCGTTCGACGACGGGGCTAGCCGTGACTGTAGGTGGGACCGTAGTGTGCGCATCCACGAAGACACAGCCAGTGACGGCTCAGTCGACCACGGAAGCAGAGGATATTGCAGCCGGGGAGGGCGTGAAGGAAACGTTGTTCGTGCGTGGTGTTCTGTCGTTCATTGCGCCCGAGACGAGCGGTGCCACGATCAGGGTCCGTGAGGACAACGAGGGGGCTCTCGCGTTGGTGCAGAACCCTTTCAGCTCGGCGAGGAGCAAGCATATCGACGTGCGGTTCCACTTCATCCGCGAGCTCTTCAAGGCGGGCAAGATCACCGCAGATTATGTCTCGACAGAAGAGCAGCACGCCGATATGCTGACCAAGGTCCTTGGTAGGGGCAAGTTGGAGTACCACCGGAAGGCTCTGATGAACCTGCCGATGTAGGGTTCTGGTCTCGTTTTCGTGGCGTTTGTTTTGTTTTGTTCTAGCACTGGGCGCGTCTCGGACCATGGTATGTCACGCAGGAAGCGTTGGGCAGGGGCGTCACCCGCGGCGGGAGCTTAGGGTTTTTGACCAATTGCTTCGGGTGTGTAATCAGCGTGGCCTGTCCAATCTGTCCTGCCTTGGTCCTGCCCTGATAGTGCGGCCGTTGGAATCCTTCGTGATAGCGACGGTTTCTTTTATGTTTTGAGTTTGTAGGCGAGGTTTTTTTTTTTATCCGGATGGCCGAGTTTTTCCCTCGCACCCGTTGTTGTATGAGTAACTTAAGTAGATCTGGAGTATCCATGCCCCACTGATGGTTTGTCAATAGCTTGACGAACCGGGGAGGGTGTTCGTGTGTCTGGATACGAGCATGGTAGATCTACTAGCAGCACGGGGGAGTACGTAGACAGGAGCATGCGTATGCCTTAAAAAGGCTACTATGTGTGGGCCCCCTTCCCGAATTCGGGAGGGCCACTTCTTCCCTTCCTTTCCTCGCTCCCGCGGGTGCCTAATCAGAGAGAGTTAAAGCGTGTCTTCTCCTCCCAAGTACGGACATACCAACAGCGACAACAACGTCGATGTCAGCTCAATGTCATGCACACAAACAAACACGTAGCAGAGGCTTTGAGAACGGTCGACGCCTTGTTGTTCGTGTAGCGGCGCGCAACTAACACGGACGGCAGGCAGGGGTATGTTGAGGCACAGTACAGTAGTAGCTCGCGCGTGGTGCTCAGATAACAACTCATCATGTTCAATTCTTCTTTAGTTACAGCAGACTGAGCTTTAGTCTAGACTAGTCTAGACCATTCTCTTCGATCTATTTTTTTTTTGTCACCCTATTTTTACTCTGATTCCCCACCCTTGCCTTGCCCATCGCCAATTAACCGTCCGCAGCGGTCGATTGTGTGCAACAATGTTACTGTCTGAGATTGAAGCCCTTCCTTGTGATGCACTTCACATTATGTAGCGGTCCGCGATTTTCCAATCGATCCTTCTATCATCGAGATCGGTGAGCTACACGATTTTTTCTTTGTGGGCGGGTGTGGGAAGCGTCCTCCTGTATTCTTGTTTTTTTTGTTTTATTTTGATCGGTTTCCGAGGGCTCTTTTCACGAACGGTCGGTGCGATAATACGTGTTATTTTCTTTCTATCATTATTTTGTTTTCTTTTTCCGAGTGGTTTGTACCCGATGTTTGTACCCTATTTTTGTTTTGTTTCCCCGCGGCGTCGTATGTGCCGGGTTTTGAGACCTCGGGCTCCCCATTTCTTGTGGACTATAGAGCTAATAATGTGAGAAACAACAACAAACAACAACAACGCAAGCAGGATTTTTCTGTCTGTGCGGTCCGATTGATTTTTCAACGCGTCAAGCACCTTCTTTTTTGCTTGTGGCTAGGCCTACCAATACATACATGTGACCCAAGGCATTCAAATCGACTTGATGGCGACGAATAGGAGACTAGTGAGGGAAGACCACCTGCGCTGCAGCTCGCGGCCCCACACACTTCAGAGCCGCTGGATTCGCCGTTGGTGCGCTTGCAACGTTTCAAAATCGGACCGAGAGCAGCAGCTTCAACAATCCTGTCTGTATAGACAAATAGCTCACCAATCTCGCGATCAGATGTGGTCTAATATAAGGAAGGATTGTTTGGAAAATCGCGGACCACTACGTGTAGATGTGTAGTCTGCAGTGTATCACAAGGGCCACAATCTCCGCGCTAACAACAAGGGTTCAATACAATGTAGCAATGGAGGGGAAGGCTCACACATAGTTTTTTCTTTTCTCCTCCTTCACACCGATCCGAAGGCTCACACATATTTTTTTCTTTTCTCCGCCTTCATTCACACCAATCCCCTCCTGACCGCTTTCATAACCTGGTGCGTTATGCTCGCTCGGCCTGTAACCCCCCCACGTTATCCCATGTAATAACCCCTGGTTGGCCGGAGGTTACACAACGCCCCCGTACAACCGTGCCCACTAGCCACCTGTGTGGACGTGGAAAGAATATCGAAGGACAGCAGTGGTGATGGAGGAGGAAAAAATGGCTTTGAGGGGAACAAGAGTTTCGAGCCAGATGACCTTCCTCACAAGAAACGCAGCACAGTGGAAATATTAGAGACGAGAAGAAGAGTAGTGGTGGAAAAAAATCAGCAATGGCCAAAATCGGGTACACCCAGTCCAAACACGGCCATATTCGGGTACACCTGCAAGATGCTGCTGGAGGCGACCGCGTGGCACCAATTGATTGGCCGACGCCCACTCCTACCCGACCTTGACCGTCTTTCCACCTGGTGCACCCGATCTTGGCTACTTGTTCTCAACCCCCGGAAGAGTACCGGGTTTCCTTTCCCCTACCTACCCGAAAATGGCTGGGCTGTGTTCAGGAGGACCCGATTCGCAGAGTATCCGTCGATTGACTTTTTTTACCTGAATCGGTACACCTTCGCATATGGCGCCAGCTGGTGATATAGAGGAACAAGGAAATAAACGGGGAAGGGAGCAAGTTCGTTGCTCCTGGCTTCGGGTACTCGCAGTTGTTGTTTGATCTCTTGTTTTAGTCTTCTTAGACCAGGTCCGCTCAGCGCCCACTCGGAGAGTGAGGGAGCGGGTCTGGGGTTTCGATCTTCCTTCAAGCTCTTTCAATACCCCTCGACGACGCCAACTATCCATATCAAGATAATTCAAAATATCCAAAAAGCGCTCATACAACGTTCATGAAACGCTCGTGCAATGCTCATATAACAACATATTCGCCTGATTGAGAGCGAAGTATCTGATTGAGAGCGAGAGCCAAAAAAATTGAAATTTCGGGTCCAGACGCCTCTTGCCATTTCTTGGCAAGTAGGGGACGGGCTATTCCAAGAAGCGGTGCAAATTGAAGGTCTCATCAGCAGCTTCGCGAGCATATGCGTGTCATCGTCATCGGATGCTGCAGCGAGGAGCTAGACAAGTTGCTAGATTTGCCCAGATTGGCTATTTCTGCTCAAACTGTTTCAGGGCGGTATCGCGTCGGGCGGTGGGCTCTGCTGTAGCTTCTGCTCCCCGCTGTAGCTCCACAACGAGAGACTCCCACAGGATGACCAGGGTAGCGGCTTGAAGCTACGGGCTAGCCCTTCAATTCAAGCTACACAGCAAGCTCCACCTCTCAGTGGTAGTCCGGCTACAGCGTATCGCGCAATCTCGCTCTCAATCAGATGCTACGCTCTCAATCAGGCGAATATGTTGTTATATACTAACTGCTCCATTACATTGGCCCACCCTGGGAAGTCGTAGATGCAGATACTTTATCTTCAATCCAATACTCAACTTCAAACAAAGATCGAAGATGCGACTTTCCCAATCAGACAAAATATGAAAAAAATAGAAGCAACTATGCTAGGATCGGAGAAAATAGTTTATCCCCGACAAACACTCCAAACCATCCCCACACCACACAGTGATGACTACTAAGAATCACATCACCAACGACGGAACCAGTCTGAATCAAAACGGGGTTCGGTCGTGGCGAAAACGCGAAGGTCGGGGGAACTATTGCAACGACAGAAGAAGCTCACACTACGTTTAGCGTACCACTGCGTATGACGTAGAAAAAAAGTCACAAAAAACAGAAAACATGTAGCGGCTTGAAGGCGGCATGCTCTCAAAGCACAGATCCAGATGGAGCAACAGCTAGCTGTGCCACAACGCCTGGTGTTCGCGACATAACGCCATCATCCGTGGAATGGTTGGTCAAACCACGAGTACGGTGTTTTTGCAAGCACCAAGAGCCGCAAGGAGCATCCAAAACCGTGGAGTAATTATGCTCCGGGAGAGACAGCTGTCGGGGACCGGGGGTGTCCAAAAATCGAACAATGTACTGGCCTGTTGCGAAACTACTAATTTGCCCAAGCCACCAAAGTCCATCCAAGTTTTGTAACAAATGTGGGCTCCGACGGGTAGAACGGAAACAGAGAAGCGAGCCAACCAAACATCACGCGAGACCAACTCGTACCCGGGAGCAATGAAACGTTCGGCCTGATTCCGAGCAAGTTCTCGGTCGGCCGAAGCTATCCGAGCATTACGATAAGCTCGGTTCCCTTGTACGCGCTGACTAGCGTTACCAGACCAGTAAAGCAAGATGTGTTTTCTGTATTCCTGCAAGTCGGACTCACTTTCCCACGACGGGGTCAACAAATCCATCCAATGAGTCAGGTACAAAACGGCTACCACACCACCTCGTCCACGTACAATTTGGTGCCCCGAAATATTCTCAACATCTAGACGACAAGACTCCGCTACAATATCATCAGTAGTCAAATTATACGGGGGAGACTTGCTACTATACGAGTGCAAGACATATTTCGATAGATTGGTCGGCATATGCGTAGGTAGGCCATCCGTGTCGTATGGGTTGGTACACGGTTTACACCGCAAGACTGAGACACGGCGGCGAGATTCTGGTCTCAGCATGTCTAACGGCAGGTCCAGGTGGAGAAGTTTGCGCTCCACAGGTTTCCCATCCGGTGAATCCTCCGCTTTGCCCGGGCCAACAGCAAGGATCTAATAGGGTCCGGTATAATTGAGCGAAAGCTTCGCTTTGAGCACCAAATTATCGGTGTGTTTCTGCACACCCTGCCGAATAGAAGCGGCGGAATTGTAGACCCAAACCCAACCACCAACGTCATATTTCGGTATCTGACGCAAACCGTCCAACAGTGCAGAGTTCCGGCGTTCGACACGCGACACCGTAATCGCATGTTGTTCCCGCACCAAAGCGTAGGCTCGTCTCTGGTGTTCCACCGGAAGGTTGCAGAAAGCGAGCTGGTCTCGATCAAAACTTTGATGGCCACCCACGCTAGGGTGGTCCAAAACAGAAAGCGGGAGACGGGGCAACCGTCCAATATGCACTTCATTCGGCGCCAATCCTGTGGCGGTGTTTAACCGAGTTGTTGTATGCAAACTCTACATGGGGAAGATGGAG